TTCAATACTTGTAAAGAGGTTGGCATTTAAATATAATTTATTAACAACACTTCTTGTGAAAACGCTGAATAGACTTGTAAGTAGGAAAATAAAACACTTTATAATACTTTTGTATAATATGCATAAAGTATAAATATAATGTAAAGAGATGCCAAAAAAAAAAATTAAAGAGAACTAAAATCTATATATTATTGAGTAAAAGGGAATTGGGTTCACGTATATTACTAGATAATTGGTCCATATTTATCCAAAACACATACACTAGAGACTGTGAGAGCCTAAAGCCCAATACTCATAACTGAACATTACAACGACATACTCCTACTGATTAAAAAATATAAACATCAAATCTTTAAGAGTGACTGATTTTTTTATAAGTTTCGTTCTGGATGTGTTAGATCATTTAATGTATTTTTTTAATTTTATTCCCAAATTAATTATAAGCCTCACTCATACTATCTTTTTGACCTTTTTTAACTCATTTTATTTCCTTTTTTGTTTTAACTCATCCTTACTCTTATAAAACCTCACCATAAATAAGGATGTTTTAGGATAATAAGTTATATATTTTATATATTTGCTATTTTTAACTATTTTTAACTAACTTTTTGAATTGCATAAGTTATTTTATGCTAATATTTGAATTAAAAGGAATAAATTCTTTACAAGACTTCTAATACCCCTCCACTTTAAAAAATAGAAATGGAATAAGCACAAAAGATATTATTTGCATATAGGTAATATATATAAATATTTATGTATATATATACGTTTCTTAGATACTAATTCCAAAAACTTGAATGCATGTATTATACGGATTAATCATTGCATAAATATTAAAAAATATCGCAAGTCAGCACATTAAGTTAGACTAAACAATTTTTTGTACGTTTTCCAATTAATCATGCATGGCATAAAGCACTAGACTACCTTTTCAGCAATTTATCTTTGCATGAAAGAATTTTTTGGTACAATTTGTTTGAGAATTCATTAGCAAAAATTTCAGATAAAAAAACATAAAATTACATTATTTCAATTCAGATACGTAATACTTTAAAATTATAGAAAATGAAGGAAAATCAAATTAGAATTTTGAAATTCATGAAAAATTATAAAAATTTTTTTATTAATTTTAAATAACTTTGAAACCTCTTGTCGAAGCATTTTATCTTTTTTGCCTAAGGCAGCAGGGTTGGTGGGATTTAATCTCCCAACCAGGTGGTTGCTAAAATTAAAAGTAACACTGTAATGCAAAAAAATAATACAAATTCACTCTTTTATTTTAGCTTTCACTCATGATAACAATTTATTTAAAAATCAAAATATCATAATTTCAGGCTTCTTTATCTGAAAATTTTCCAAATCATTATGTATATTTGCTTAACATGGGAAAAAAATTTCCACATAATGTATAATGAGTCTACATTTGTTACGTTTTCCCCCTTTCTGGGTGTTTCTTTTAACTTCAAATTAAATAATTATTAATAAATTACTGGTGAAAATTTTTATGTTCAAGAGCGTTATTTAATTTTACCAAGAATTGAACGTACAGAATTGTTCACATTTTTTTTGGCCAGAAAATTGTTCCAATTCAATGTGAATGAATTAACATATTTGTGCGTATTAGCAATTTATAATATTAGTAAATAATAGTTTTCTACTTTTTTTAATGATATATTTCATTTACATGTTATGCCTATGAGATAGAGAATTTATATTTTTTCTTATAACATCGTTCAAGGCTTACTCATTTTGAAAAATAACACTGATATGCTCTAATTGATAATATAGAACTAGATTTATTTTTTAAAAAAAAACTTGAAGCCAACAACAAAATGGAGGGGAAAATGACCGACACGGAAGGAATGCCACTCCACATGAAAGTTAATTACAAATTTTGATTAATTTATTTTTGTTCATTTTAAATATTTTATTTCATGTTTTGACATGTGTGAAAATTAAATTATATATAAAAGAAAGCATATCCAGCTTAAGATTAAAAGAAAGCATCAAGTTCCATGTCTTTAAAATTAATCTAGCAAAATTATTATTCACCAAATTTGTAATATTTAAATTAAATTAGTGACTTATCAAAATAGTAAAAACAAAATTTTAGACAACCGCATAATTAAAGCTCTTACCTTGCAAGTTGTTTCTGCTAAGAAGTAGCCGCTCAAGTTTGGTCAAATTTCCAATGTCAGTTGGTATGTCTCCATTGAACTTGTTAACCCCCATTTGTAAGTCTACCAATTCTTTGCATTGATGCCAAATGGAGGGTATTTTGCCAGACAAATCATTTCGATTCGCATAAAATAATTGGAGTTTTGGAAGCCCAGAACATATATTTGTTGGCAGACTCCCAGATAAGCTATTCATGTTAAGTGCAATGTCTCGTCGCACTGAACTATTAAATATGGAGTTTGGTATAGTGCTTGAAAGCTGATTACTTCCAAGATATATTGCATGAAGCTCTTGAAGATCACCAATTTCATTTGGAATGGCTCCTTCCAATATTAAATGATAAACAATATGTCAATATCAACTTTCATAGCGTGTGCATTAACTATCATATGTCATAATAAAATGATTAAATATCCGCTGTTGAAATAATTAATATGCACAGCAACAATTATTATTTCACTGTATAAATATTGAAAGACATAATCAACAATCAATTTAAGTTAAATACTAGAAAGTAAATGACAGAGAAGTTAAGAGTGTGGATTCTTTCAGGTTTTTTTCCTTCTTGCTGTTGGGTTTGACCATGCACATGGAAGAATTTTTTAAAGTATGTATTTTTAATTCATATTTATATTTGTCAATCAAGTGTTGCATTTTATGTCTGCATTTTTATTGAAAACAATTTTGAAAATATACTCAAGGATAAGATATAACCTTACAAAGTTAAGCTGACAGTGTTAAGAAATATAATTATTTTCAAAAATTAAATTCGTCACTAGCTAGCTAAGTCCTATATAGGGACAGTTCAAAATCGTTGGTGTAGTGGACAAAAATATTATGTACATGAGACATATTTGCAGTTTTGAAAACACATAGTAAGACTTGTGCTCTTATATCAAAAATAACATTAGTACATTCTAAATAATAAACACAATGATACTTATTTTCAAAATAGAAATAAACCTTTCAATTCAGCTCAGGTAATAACACAGAATAAATATTTTGGATATGGGGATTCATTACACTGTTTTATGTTTCAGTTCAGTTTATTTTTCTGTAATTTTGATTAATTTAAATTTATTTTTGTCATTTTTTCAGATTTACGCCAATTCATCATTTCTTTCTAAGCACATATTTTTTGGAAGACTCCAAAAAAATTATTTTTGTTATCTACAAACTTTTTTAAAATAAAAGTGAATAATATATCATAAAATTAATATTTTATATTATCCAAATTAAAATTAAATGTTCCATTTTCCAAACATGTTGCTGGTAAGGCTTGCTCATTTTTTTTATTAAAAAAAACTTCAAAAAGTTTGTAATAGCATCATAATAATAAATATCATTTTCAAAGATTGATAATGGGGGTTAAAAGATCTCCTCAGACTAATATTATACCAATAGTCTTTTTTCCTGTGGTATAGGGTTACTAACCACCTTAAAATTGGGATGACAAATTGGTTTTTATTCTTTTAAGAAGAATAGAAAAATGATGGAAAAAAACAATAAGAAATGCACAAAAATATAACAACTAAAAAAAAAAGAAAAAATGGAGACAACCCCAAAATCATTCAAAACATACCAAACAAACTGTTATAATTAAGATAAAAATAGAAAATTCAATTTGTAAGTGTCGAGCATCCAAAAATTAATAAACACATTATTTTATATTTCTCCAATCCCGAATCAAAGTCAAGGAGTGCAAACTCCATTTCAAATGGGGAAAATGACATCTCTCGTGATTACATCAAATTAAAATTAATTAGAGTGGTGTGCTATATTTGTTTTCAATACATCTAAAGTTATTATTTTTTTTAAAAGTTTGAGAAGCTAAAATAAATATATAAATAAACAAACTATTCGGATTCTAAGGATGATGTCCCTAAATATAAACAGCTAATTACAAATGACCCAAGACACAAATATCATTAATAAAAGTAAGAAATACTCTAGCATTTTAATTCCTTGTGACCCTAGGTAGCAGTGTATGGGGCCCTTTTAAAATTTCAAATAATATACAGTAAAAATGGTATTTGCAAATTTTACACACTCTAAGCATGATAATTATGTGTGTTTATTAAATTCTAGTGGATTGTCTATAACAAAAGAAAACCAAAAAACTTGCCATTGAAAAGAAAATATGGGGGGAAATGAAAAATACCAAAAAAAGTAGAAAGAAGGAATCCCAGTTAGTGCCATGTGTTCAAAGCACATTACAAATAACAGATCGCCATAAAGCACGTCTTAACTATTTTAAACTTCTAAAATTCAACTCGCCATAGCTTTTTATTTCACAAATTGAAAAAAAAAATTCTCATCGATGTAAAATGCTATAAAAAATGCGGGAGTCGCATTTTTGAGGAACAAGTCTTCTGTGTTTTGGAGTATCGTCAAGAACCGTTTGGTATGTAATGACAAATAAAACCCATTCTATATCTTCTAAAACATCATGACCTAAGTAATACCTAAGAATTTAAACAAATTTTTCTTCCACAATGATGTAATTTGCATAGATTGACAGAAAAAAAATCAATATTAGAACTGAGTTATTCAATATTAATAATGAAAACTTGAATTCTATGCTTTATCACCTTACTTTATAAATAATTAACTTCAATTTTGAGAACGAAGGATCATTGAAGAACAACCACATTCAATGCACCTAACCACATGATTATTGAGAATTTATATCCCTATGAGTAAACAGACTAGCTTTGAGCAAACACAAATATAAATATAAAAATTAATCCAAACATACCTGACAAACTATTATGAGACAACCATAGCTGTTCAAGTGAAGATAAGTTGAAAATTGTTTTGGGAATTGCTCCTGAAAGTTTGTTCCTTGAAAGTTGTAAATTCTTCAAGTGCTTTAGACTTCCTATCTCAGGTGGAATGGTACCTTCAATGATATTAGAGTTCCAATCCAAAGTCTCCAACCTTGATAGATTGAATAGAGATAATGGAATAAACCCATTGAGACTGTTATTTTGAAAACTCAACTGCTCAAGCATAGATAAATCTCCTATCCATGTTGGAACTTGTCCGTGAAAGTCATTATAGCTCAAGTCGAACAGTCTCAATCGACGTAATTGAACCAAGTCTTGAGGAATTTGACCATGAAAGTTGTTGTTACTGAGATCAAGATCAACTAGAAAGGAGAGATTTCCTAGTTGTGGAGATATGCTACCCTTAAGATCCATGCCACCAAGAATCAAGGAATGGACCCTTCCATGACGAGTATTGCAGGTGACACCAGCCCAACTACAAGGAGAAGAAGAGACAGACCAATTGGCCAAGAAATTGTATGGATCTGAAGTGATATAGGATTTAAGGGAAAGAAGTGCAGATATGTCGGTAGTCATGTTAGTTTGACTCCAAGCTAAGCAGGACATGAAGCAATGAAGAAAGAAAAGGAAAACAGAGGGAAGAGGTTTTTCCATGTTTTGCACAGCAGACTTATCAAATTTGCAAGTGTTGTGCATCCAGCAATTAACAAACACCTCCATTTATACTTCTCCAATTCTAAATCAAAGTCAAGGCAAGGACGTTAAATTTCACATTGCAAAATGACATCTCTCGTGACTACATTAAAAAATAACCATAAAAAAGTGAACACTAAAAATATATTGCGTGATTGGGATTAATTACAGACCTTCAAATAATAAAAGCTTTTTACTTTTTTGTATTGTACTTCGTTTAGAATTGATTTATATTCTCTTGTTTGTATTGTGTGGCTTTAATATTTCTATAAATATTTTTTTTGTCAGATAATATTTCAAGACACATACAGTAAAGTAAATTGTATAATTAAAAATGGTATTTGCCAAGATTACACGCTCCAGGATGGAAACTTAAAGATTATTTTGTTACACCTAATAACTCAGATCTGAACGACATGTTATAATACATATATTTATACAATAACAGATAAAAAAATTTATATAATGGCAGATAAGAGCAAAAAAAAAAAAAAACTTCAGATGCTGGGTGTTTTTTTCATGAATACTTTTAGAGTATTTAATCACCTTATCCCTTTTTTTAAAATGTTAATTTTGATGTAGTCTCAATTTGCAATTTTCAAATAGTGTATCATCTATTTTATTAAAAGCAACCTTCAATTTATTTTAATTAGAGAATTTTCAAAATGAAAATAAATCCACAAAAAAAATTTATAAATAACAGCTAAGTGTAAATAACATCTGAATTTCTTTAAGACTAGCCAAACAAAGATATTGACAAACCACTAAACCAAAATATATTCCAGTTAATACCAACAAAGAGTTGAGCATAAATGAAATCGGCGTTCCAAAGATTAAAGTTATCCCCAAAGACAAGTTGATGAAATGACCCCATAAATATGTTAGTAATGAGAGAGTATAATTCCACTTCCTGAACCACATTTTCATTTCCATTGCATTATTTCATTTATGGTCAGTCTTGTAGGCCATATACAGAGGAAAAAAGTTATAATTACTAGTGGGAAGAAGCATGCGTGAACAAAATATCTATCAAAAGTCTACAAACTTTAATTGATTGTATGTATGCATGCATTGGTATATGGAGCGCTTGACTTGTAAATAGACCTCAAAGTCACACTCAATTTCAAACGAAACAACTCATATGTGTGCATGTGTTTGTAATTTTAATTTGGTAATATCATTTTAGTTTACCCAAAAGAGAATACCACAGTTGACTTCAAAAACACATGAATAGCGCAGAATTTAGTTATTTTTTGTTTTGGAATTTATAGATTGTATGTGGCAAAAAAAAAATAGTATGTATTTTTGTGTGTATATTTCAAAAGGCACAGAAACTCAATCTGATAATCCACTTTTTATGGCACAAACTTGAAGGGATCATTTGTGCAATTGTTTTAAAGCATTTTGAAAATCATATTGAAGGATAACATATTAACAAAATTAAAGATGGTTTAGTTTATACGAATATAATATGGCACATATTTTAAAGGAGTGTGAGGTTTGAATTTTATTGTTGAAATGAAAATCATTTTAGGGGTTAGCCTTCAAATACTTTTGTGAATATACCTAGAGATTACCCAAAGAAATTAGTGATCAAGAAGATGTCAAAGAAACAAATAAATACATCGAAGTCTTTGGAAATAGAGAAACTACTAGCGTGTTTTACTTGCAAAACACAATCTGTCTATTATGCATTAAAGTCAAATTTGCAGTCGTAGTTACAATTCATCTGACCGAAAACAGCTTCTATAATTGATGAACTTTATGGGAATTGATGATTTTTTCACACATCGAAAAGAAATAATTGATGATTTTTGAAATCCTTGAAATTATATAAGCGATGATATTTTTAAATTAAAGCAAAGCATGAATGGAATTTCAGAGATTATGAAATTTTTCCCGAATATTAAGTCTGAAACAATCAATAAAAATGTTAGCTAGTAAAGTATGAAATCATCTCTCAGAAGATTCTAAAACTTTTAGCTAATTCCTTTAAAAAATATTTATTCTATTGATAATTAAATTGAGAAAGAAGATAGGGTGCTCTCGCACCAATAGGCTGAAAATGAAACACCGTATGTTATAGTAAAGATCAAATTAAGAAGCATGCATGCCATAGGAAATAAAATAAAAATAAACATGTGCATACTAATCTAAAAACATAAAATTGCATAGTAGATCTTAATCTTAAATTTAAATTAACACTATAGAAATTCAGTAGGTGACCATGAATTTAACATTACATTGTTTGATTTGGGGGTATAAAAAAGTCGCGTGGGAGAAAAAGGAAAGACAGTATATAATCTAAATCTAAATCCTAGAAAATGCCAACTAAACATGTTCTAAGAATTTAAAGAATATGTTCTTGGAAGAATTTGAGGAGTTTTTAAATTTATTAAAAAAATTAGAAATTTCCAATATGTCCTATAATAGTAAACTTATTAATCTTTCAAGTGTTTTAATTTTAAAGCATGTAAATAACACCTTAATTTCTGAGACTAGCCAAACAATGGCATTGGCAAAACACTAATCCCGAATATGTTTGGGTTAACAACCAAATAAAGAGAAAGCATGAATGGAAGAGGCAAAAAAAAAATTATTTACTCGATCATGATGGATAGAGAGAATATACTTTATTTTTATAATATAAATTGTTATAAAATTACTAATTTTAAAAAATTACCCTTAAGTAAATATTTAATTATAAATTAATCAAGAGGAGATATAAGATACTAATAGAAGTTTCAAGCTTAATAAGGTGTGCTTTTCGTTTAGAAGTAGAGTTGTAGAGTTGTAAGTAGCCCTTTTAGGTTTCACTATGACTAAGGACCCATTTGGTATGTGCTACTAAGCTACTCCCTCAATTCATAATAAATGTCACAAAAACTTACATGTTTCATAATAAATCTCATTTTATATTTCAATAAGATATATTAAATGATTTCTCTATTATTTTCCCTTTATTAATACACTCATTAATAGTCAAATAATGTTTATTTAAAGAGCACTCACTAGGCATAAGCATGGTAGATTTTTCAAACATTAAGTGGTCATTAGAAGAAGTTGATGCAATGAAGGAAAAAGAAAATCATGATGAAGAACTACAAATGGCTTGTTATCACGTCAAGGAAATTATTTTTATTTTCATCGTATTGTATAGGTTGTAGAATACCCCCATAAATAATATTGATGATGAGAAGAACCCTTTTCTCTTTAATTTCTTAAACCACATTTTCATTTTCACTGCATTATTTCGCTTACGGTCAATCTTGCAGGCCATATCTTGTCCCTACCGTCCACAAACGTATATATCAAAAGTCTAAGGACTCCATTATACCAACCACCCAATATTCATAGCTACATGGAATAGTTGACTTGTGAGTGGACCTCAAAGTCATGTACCACTTCGCACGTTTCGTGGTTCAGTTTGGCAGGCTATGACTAGAGATTACCCATAAAAAACGTTAGCGAGAAGATGTCAAAGAAACAAACAAATATATCACAATCGGTCTTTTGTGGGCACTTAAGCCAAGTTTGTATTCCTCTAGTCTTTAATATAAGACCTATTTAACTAATTTTATTAAATTAAAAAAGTGAGTAGAGTTAGTTAATTATAAGCAATTTGATATGTTTTTTTCCCCAAAACACCATTATCATCTTTTTTAATATCTCCTCTTCCTCTCCTACTTGATTGTGATTGGACGAGTATCGGACAATTTAAAAAAAATTAATAAATATGAGAAATATGTCTTGCACTTAGAACTAAGATTAATTCAACAATTATATCCTATATTAAGGACTGAAGGAGTATTTTATGTGTAACCCTTTGTAATCACAGTCCATTGATGAGAATACAAGGTACAACTTCTAAAATTTTATACTGGTACTAATCAATGACTTTTTGAAATCCTTATATTACATATGCATGGATCATTGTTTATTTAGTTAAAGCAAAACCCGAAAAGAAATTTTAGAGATATCTACTTTTTCCTAAATAATCAATTGCAAACATTATCTAGTGAAGTATGAAATCATTGTTATAAGAATTTTATTCATTTTCTTAAATCAGTATTAGTTATTTTGTGATAATTGAGTCTAGAATAAGAAGAAAGATGTGCACAAGCAAAGATAAAATGATCTTGGCTCATGAAAAAAAGAATAAAGATCAAATTAAGGAAGTATGCCATAGATAACTTCTAAAATATTAAACAGAAAGGTGTGCATACTTGCTTGGTGAGTTTAAAAGCAGAAAATTGCACAATACCCTAAATTTAAAATTTAAAGCAACACTCATTTAATCTCTCTAATGAAGAGAAACTAAGGTCTTCTCCACCACACGATATGTGGAGCGGTGCATATTGTATATATACTTTACCTATGTGATATATAGTTATCTTTTTTTTTTTTTTTAATGTTTGCCGATTTTTTGAATGAAAAAGCACTCTCTATTGCAAAATGAATGGTGACACGTGTTGTCATACATATATTCTCTATTGAATATGAAATAATTGATAATTAAATAATGAAGATTGTGTTAAAATTATTAAATATGAAATAATTAAATTGTTGTATTGCAAAAATTAAATATTTTCTCAAATATTATTTTCAAGATCATTCTATGTATCATATTTAAAAATGCTGGTTGAGAAGAAATTTTTTTTTCTCTTTAATGGTATTGAACGCTGGCTAACTAACTGAGATTACTACAGAATTATTATTTGTA